AGAGGCTTTGGAATGGGAGAGTCACCAGGTTCACAGCGCAGGGGCTCGCGGCGTTAGCGAGGTGTTGGTTCCAACAGATGACATGGAGGGCGCGGCGTGGAAACTGACGATGGCTGACATGTCAAATTGTGATCAAGCGCGAGAGGATCGAGGAGAGCGCGAGGAGGGCGCCAAAACAGTCGCTCGTCGATATGGGCGCGAAAGCGGCCTATGTAAGGGGCTGTCGATTTCGACAGTGAGAGTCTTCGTCTCGAGTCTTCCGAGTCAACAAGCTGCCGTTTGACCTCCATCTTCTGCAACTCCCGAGCTGCCGTCGCCACGTTATCGTCAACCTGCCACTGATACTCAAACTTCTGTTCTGAAGTTCGCTGTACACAATGCTGCTATTCTATTACTCTGTTGTTTCTACTTGTTGCTATATTTTTGGTAAAGGGAGTTGTAAAACTTGTATAGTCTTGGGACTGTTAATAAGAAACAAGGGTCATTCACCCACTAATCACCTTTTTATTTACTTGGGGGCCAAACAAAGCCAATTTGACAGTCGCTTGACTTTCCAAGTTTTCTTATTCTTTTGCTTGCTTTTCTACTGACTGCTCCTAGTTGGGTGTCGGTAGAAATATCTGACGGCTCTGCAAAGGGTGTCAGGTTCAGCAGCGGTACCGATAGCAATAACTGTCGTTGGCACCGTGGTGTCTTGGCTACTCGCCAACCAGCCGACGTGTTGATCCGTGGGTTGGTAGTGAAAAGAGAAGCCAAGACACTTAGCAGCATTGTGATTGGGACGGAATCGTGAAGCGCATTGAACATTCAGGTGCGTTTGGACAGATCGATTTCCGTCTTGTTACAGAAGTCTCACAGGAGAATTCCGCGTGAAATGTTGAGAAACCGTGGCCAGCTCGCATAGTTCTGATTCGGATTCACGACTGTCAAATTGGCTTTGGCCCCCAAGTTAAAAAAAATGTATGTATTGGGTGATGACCCTTGTTTCTTATTAACAGTCACAAGACTATACAAGTTTTATTACTCTCTTTACCAAAAATATAGCAACAAGTAGAAATAACAGAGTAATAGAATAGCAGCAATGTACAGCGAACTTCAGAAGTTTGAGTATCAGTGGCAGGTAGACGAAAACGTGGCGACGGCAGCTCGGGAGTTGCAGGAGATGGGGTCAAACGGCAGCTTGTTGACTCGGAAGACTCGAGACGAAGACTCTGACTTTCGAAATCCGACGGCCCCTTATATAGGCCGCTTTCGCGCCCATATCGACGAGTGACTGTTTTGGCGCCCTCCTCGCGCTCTCCTCGATCCTCTCGCGCTTGATCACAATTTGACATGTCAGCCATCGTCAGTTTCCACGCCGCGCCCTCCATGTCATCTGTTGGAACCAACACCTCGCTAACGCCGCGAGCCCCTGCGCTGTGAACCTGGTGACTCTCCCATTCCAAAGCCTCTTATCAAACCTTATCAATTACTAGCATTTTATGTCATTCACCAATAACGTTTGGCACTATTTACCCTTTACTGCCCCAGTCATCCGAAATCAGGTCAGTTTCTGACCGAAGTCATATTTGCGGGTTTATGACCCCGCGTGCTGCTGTTGAATAACATGAATATTAGTAGACTTTATTAGTACAGTGAAGGAGATCGCATTGGTTGTCGAGTATCAGAAGTGAGCCGGACCTTGGAAGTGAGCTGGACCCATGAGGCGACGATCGTGGAGGAGATCTTCTGGGGACGAGGAGTCGAACGGACGAGCTGGACGGTGGTGAGATCTCGGTGCGGAGAAGAAGCCTCGATCGTCTGCCGCAGACCTTAAATACCATGCGTAAGATGACTCAGCAATACCGTATCCCTAGCACAAGCTCGCGCAGTAGAAGCGCTGATGAAAGAAATAGATAGGGTCGCTACTACTACTATATAGTTACTATGATCTACGGGACTCTTACACCTCCCCCATTGCAAAAAAGTCCGTCCTCGGACTTGAGAACGGGGAAATGAAGAAGGAAAAGGAAAAGAAAGAGGGTACTCACCATAATGGACGTCAAGTGAGAAAAAACAACCGGTTATTCGAGCAGATCGGGCAGCGATGCGGTCGTCGTTACGGCGCCGGAATTCCGTGCCCAACGGAGTAGGATGTCCCAATACGACAAGCCGACTAAGGATTTCTCATGACCGAGCACGAATTGTCCGTGGCGACAACGGGACAGGGCTACGTTCAATCGGTGGGGGTCGTTGAGGAATTCCCCACGCTCAGCGTCAAAGCCTGTACGTGTCGTCAGCAGGACTACGATATCCTTCTCACGCCCCTGAACGCTATCTACGGTGTGGATGTCAACTTGGGTACGCTTGGCGAAATGCTCTAGAAGGCGGCTCTGCTCTTTGTAGAAGACAATGATGGCCAAAGAGGCAGGACGGACGTTCTTCCTGAGCAGCGCCAAGATGATCTGACGGCAGACCTCGGCTTCGGCTTCGTTTGAGTGTGAGCCGGAAAGAGACTTCGACGAAGAGCCGGAGACGTCAACGAAAAGGAAGGGCAACTCCGGATTCGGACATCTCACCGTAGATAGGAAGAGCTGCCTATCGATTGCGGGGGTGCCACTGACAAGGGTATTGCCGTAAAACATGAGATTCGGCAATTCGTTAAGGAGGGGATGCGCGCGGAACGTGGTAGTGAGAGGCGCGCATGGAACTCCCTTCGCAAGCAGGACATCCATTATGCTCTGAGCGCCGAAACGCACTGGATTTGATGATCTGGGGCACCGGGCATGGGGCTCGAGCTGGTGAGTGTCGCCGATATAGATGTGATGTGCTCGCGGTAGATGAGTGGCTAAGGCA